CCACGACGCGCTGTACTGGGAGGGGGGGACGCATGCGGGCGGTGCCACTGGGGTCTTCGGTAGAATTCCCGATGGGCCCACGAAGCGCTGTACCGGGTGGGGGGTCGCATGCGGGCGGACCACTGGGGCTCCCTACGGGGAAACGAAACGCTATACCGGGTGGGGGGGGGCATGTGGGCGGTGCCACTGGGGCTTGGTGGAGCTCGCAATTAATGGGGCCACGAAGCGCTGTACTAAGTGGTGGACGACGCACGCGGGCGGTGCAAATGGGGTCTTTCTGTGGACCTCCCTATGGGGCCACGAAGCGATGTACTGATTGGTGGCTGACGCATTCGGGCGGTCCCATTGGGACCATCGGTGGAGTTCCCTATGGGGCCGCGAAGCGCTGTACTGGGTGGTGGCTGACGTATGCGGGCGGTCAGACTGGGACTATCGGTGGAGTTCCCTATGGGGCCACGAATCGCTGTATTGGGTGGTAGCTGACGCGTGCGGACGGTCCCACTGGGACCTTCGGTGGAGCTCCCTATGGGGACACGCTGCGCTGGGTGGTGGCTGAAGCATGCGGGCGATGCCAGTAGGGCCCTCAGTTGGCCTCCCGATGGGGCCAGGAAGCGCTGTACTGGGTAGGCGAAGCACAGGGAACAAAGGCTGTGCTGCGTGGTGGTTAGCGCTGTGGGCGGCCCCACTGTGACATCCGGTGGAGCTCCCTATGAGGCCACGAAGCGCTGTACTAACTGGTAGAAGAGCAAGGAACAAAAACACTGTGCTGGGTGGTGGCTGACGCATGCGGGCGGTGCAACTGGTACCTTCGGTGGGGTTCCCTCTGGGGCCACGGAACGCTGTATTGGGTGGGTGAAACGCAGGGGGGTGGTGTTTGACGCATGCGGGCGGTGCCACTGGGACCTTCGGGGGAGCCCCCTTATGGGGCCACGGAACGCTGTACTGGGTGGGTGAAACGCAGGGAACAAGGGTTGTGCTGGGTGGTGGCTGACGCATGCGGGCGGTGCGACAGCGACCTCTGGTGGAGCCCCCCGGATGGGGCCACGAAGCGCTGTACTGGATGCGTGAAACGCAGGGAGGAAATTCTGTGCTGGGTGGTGGTTGACGCATGCGGGCGGTGCCACACTGACCTTCGGTGGAGTTCCCTATGGGGCCACGAAGCGTTGTACTCGGGGCGTGGAACGCAGGCAGCAAGGGCTGTGCTGGGTGGTGGCTGACGCATGCGGGCGTTGCAACTGGTACCTTCGGTGGAGTTCCCTATGGAGCCACGCAGCACTGTACTGGGTGGGTGAAAGACAGGGAGCAAGGGCTGTGCTGGGTGATGGTTGACGCATGCGGGCGGTGCCACTGGGACCTTCGGTTGGGCAACCTCTGGGGCCACGAAGCGCTGCACTGGGCTAGTGAAACACAGGGAGCAAGGGCTATGGTGGGTGGTGGCTGACGCATGCGGGCGGTGCCACTGGGACCTTCGGTGGGGTTCCCTCTAGGGCCACGGAGCGCTGTACTGGGTGGGCGGAACGCAGGGAGCAAGGGCACTGCTGGGTGGTTGACGCATGCGGGCGGTGCCACTGGGACCTTCGGTGGGGCTCATTCTGGGGCCACGGAGCGCTGTACTGGGTGGGTGAACCGCAGGGAACAAGGGCTGTGCTGGGTGGTGGCTGGCGCATGCGGGCGGTGCCCCTGGGGCCTTCGGTGGAGCTCCACGGGCTACGAAACGCTGTATTGGAGTGGGTGAAACGCAGGGAACAAGGGCTGTGCTGGGTGGTGGCTGACGCATGCGGGCGGTGCCACAGTGACCTCCGGTGGAGTCCCCTATGGGGCCACGGAACGCTGTACTGGGTGGGCGAAACGCAGGGCGCAAGGGCTGTGCTGGGTGATGGTTGACGCATGCGGGCGGTGCCACGGTGACGTCCGGTGGAGCTCCTCATGGGCCACGAAACGCTGTACTGGGTTGGTGGAGCGCAGGGAGCAAGGGCTGTGCTGGGTGTTGGCTGACGCACGCGGGCGGTGCCACAGTGACCTCCGGTGGAGTTCCCTATGGGGCCACGGAACGCTGTACTGGGTGGGTGAAACGCAGGGAGCAAGGGCTATGCTGGGTGGTGGCTGACGCATGCGGGCGGTGCCACTGGGACCTTTGGTGAAGCCCCCTATGAGGCCACGAAGCGCTGCACTGGGCTAGTGAAACGCAGGGAGCAAGGGCTGTGCTGGGTGGTGGCTGACGCATGCGGGCGGTGGAGCCCCCTTATTGGGCCACGAAGCGCTGTACTGGGTGGGTGAAACGCAAGGAGGAGGGAGGAGGGGGAGGAGGGACGGGGTGGAGGAGGAGAGAATGCGGAGGAGGAGGAGCGCGGGGACCGTCTCTTCAAAACGAGGACCCAACACCACAGGATGGTGGGGAACAATGCAAAGTACACGGTGGGGAAAAATCGTGGGTCATGCTCGTGAGGCCCACGAACACTTTAATGTATGTTTTGACAGGGGCGGCGGGGGTATCAGCATATCGCCTGCTGTGCGCAGGGCCGCCGTCCCTGTCAACAAAACTCTGGATCATGCGGCCACCCTGAATCGTGCGCAGCCACCCCGCGATCACTGCCAAGTGGTGTTTGACAGGGGCGGCAGGGGTGGTGGCGCATGGCCTGCTGTGTGCACGCCCAGCAGACACCATGATGGGCAACGGCTTTCGGCAAGGATGGTCGGGGCCGACATGTTTCCCGATGTGTGCTGTCACGTGCGCAGGCGCACCTGAGACACTTTGCACATGCACCGCGCGGCTGGAGTATGCGGCACACCTGGCGCACGCGGAGCACGTAGCGCATCTGGCGCACCAGGCGTGCCTGGCACGCTCGGGCCCCAGGGGTGCTTGGCGCGCGTGGCGCGCCTGGCGCGAAAGGCTCACCTCGCCCCAGCGTCGCGTACATGGGGTCGTCTTTGGTTCCCAATAGCTGCCCATACAAAAACGATCGTTGAAAATGCTGAGGCTCGGGTGTTACGTATGTGTTGGGAAGGCAGGTGAGAGTGAGCTAGACGGCTTCCTGTCTAGGAAGGTGTGTTGATCTCTGTCCCTGCTAATATACACCCCTCTCCCAGGCGACCGGCAGGCAACCAGACACCATGAGGACTCCATGCTCATTCCCCACCATCCCCAAGAATTACATCAGAGACAAACCCCAATCATTGAATGGATTGGAATTAGTGATATGGATATGAAGATCAATCGTGAGATCGATCGTGGAAAGAGGACGATTGTTTGATCGATCGTGGGGCCGATAATGAAGTCGATTCAATCAGATCGGTAATGAGATCGATCGTGCGATCTATACTGAGATGGATTGGGAGATCGATAAGGAGATCGATAGAAAACTGTGTAATGAGATCGATGGTGAGACCGATCGATAACAATATCGACCAAAAACTAAGAAACCCGGAAAACCCGCCGCGCACCGAAATCGGCCGGGAACCCGGAACCCGGAACCCGGAACCCGGAATCGGGAATGGGAACCCGGCCGGCCACCAAAATTGGCCCGGCGTTTTCGCCAAATCCTTCAATCTCCACTAGGGCCCCTTCAGTGCAAGCACTGACTGGGGGACAAAACCACTGTGGGGCAAAGTCTTGAGTCCTGTTCTTGGGGCCCGCGGGCACATTGTACTGCTTTTGACAGGGACGGCGGGGGTGTTAGCATATTGCCTGCCGCGCGCACGGCTACCATCCCTTACAACAAAAAACAATGCAAATGACCTCGCGGCAAAATCTGGACCATGCGCGGCCACCACGCGATCATTGTCAAGTGGTTTTTGACAGGGACTGCGGGGGTGGTGGCGCACGGCCTGCTGTGTGCAGGCCCACCAGACACCATGATGGACATTAGTTTTCGACAAGGATGATGGGCGCCGACATGTTTCCCGATGTGTGCTGTCACGTGCGCAAGGGCACCTGAAACAGTTCAGCCTGAAACACACACACACACACGCACACACGCACACACGCACACACGCACCCACGCACACACGAACACACGCACACACGCACACACCACGCACACACGCACACACGCACACACGCACACACGAACACACGCACACACGCACACACGCACACACGCACACACGCACACGCGCACAATCGCACACGCGCACACGCGCACACGCACACACGCACACACGCGCACACGCACGCACGCACACACGCACACACGCACACACGCACACACGCACACACGCACACACGCACACACACACACACGCACACACGCACACACGCACACACACACACGCACACACGCACACGCGCACGCACGCACACACGCGCACGCGCACGCGCACGCGCACGCACGCGCACGCGCACGCGCACGCGCACGCGCACGCACGCGCACGCGCACACGCACGCGCACGCGCGCACGCACACGCACACACGCACACGCACACGCACACGCACACGTACACGCACACGCACACGCACACGCACACGCACACGCACGCACAAGCGCACGCACACGCACACGCACACGCACACGCACACGCGCACGCAGACGTGCATGCACGCGCGCACACGCGCACACGCGCACACGCGCACACGCGCACACGCGCGCACACGCGCACACGCGCACACGCGCACACGCGCACACGCGAACACGCGCACACACGCGCACACGCGCACACGCGCACACACGCGCACACGCGCACACGCGCACACGCGCACACGCGCACACGCGCACACGCGCACACGCACCCACGCACACACGCGCACACGCGCACACACGCGCACACGCGCACACGCGCACACGCGCACACGCGCACACGCGCACACGCGCACACGCGCACACGCGCACACGCGCACACGCGCACACGCGCACACGCGCACGCGCGCACGCGTACGCGACCACACACGCACACACACACACACGCACACACACGCACATACGCACACACGCACGCACACATACACACATACTGCACGTGCCCCGAACGTGGCGCAGCTGGCGCGGCTGGAGTATGCGGCACACCTGACGCACGCGGAGCACTTAGCGCATCTGGCGCACCAGGCGTGCCTGGCACGCTCGGGCCCCAGGGGTGCCTTGCGCGCGTGGCGCGCCTGGCACGCGTGGCGCACCTCGCCCAGCGTCGCGCACATGGGGTCGGTGTTGGTTCCCAGTAGCTGTCCATCCAAAGACGACGCTGAACATGATCTGGCTCGAGTGTTACGTATGTGTTGGGAGGGCGGGTGGGAGTGAGGGGGTGTCTTGACCCCTCCCCCTTCCCCCGTCCCCCTGGACCTGGAAGGTGGGGCGGCGGGTCACTGGCGCGGCCAAGATGGCCTCGACGAACAGGCGCCAATCATTGATTCTCCCACGTTTTCGGCTCGTGATACCCTTCTGAGAGGGGGACGCTAATTGAGCACCCCCCTACTTTGATCAACCTCCTCCAAGATGGGCCCAAGATGGCCCCCAAGACTTCCAATAGGGCCCCAAGAAGCGCCCACGAGGCCCCGAGAGGCCCCCAAGAGGCCCCCCAAAATGCCACCAAGATGCCTCCAAGAGGCCCCAATAAGCTACCCCGCGGCACCGAAGACGCTCCAAGAGGCCCCCATTACCGCCAAGAAGCCCTCAAAGACGCAGCAGGAGGACTCCAAGAAGCCCTCAAGAGACATCCGAAAAGACTCCGAAACGCATCCAAGAGGCCTCTGGCCATTCTGCTCGCCCTTCCCCTCCTCGTCCTCCTCCTCCTCCTTCTCCTCCTCCTCCTCCATTCCTGTTCCTTATAAATGAAGGTGAAGCGAAGTGGGGTTGTAACGGATGGGTGAGAAGGCCGGAATGAGAGAGCGGACGAAGGAAGGAGCAGAACGGCGGACGGTGCCACGCGCAAAGGGGGGCGGGGGGGGAGGGGGGGAGGGCGTCTTAGGAGCACCCCTGCTGCTCAGAGGGCGCGGGCCTTGTCTGCAGATGTAGGGCCAGCGCCCTCTAAGGAGCACGGGTTGCTCCCCAAGAGGCCCCCCCCCACTCCCCCCCACCCCCCTCTGCGCGTGGCTGAGCCCCCCCCCTCGCACCCGAAGAGCAACCCTTCCAGACCCCTTCTGGTTTCCTGGAGGGGTGCCCGCAACGGCCCAGCGCCACTAGAGTCCCAGGAGGAAGATTACCCCCTCGGGCATCGAGCAGGAGCAGACGCAGAAGGGGCGAGCACCGAGAGGCCAGCGCGCGCATCGCAAGCGGAGGGGCCTTCCATGATCGTGTAGCCGCGCACGAACCCCAGCAACCGGCACCTGTGGACATCACAAAGATGCACTTTACAGTGGCGCTGCCTGGCCAGGCATCCGCGTGCGCAACGCCAGCAGCAGGCTGGGATGAGAGCGACGGACCAGCGACACAACGACCAGATTGAACATACTTGTGGGTACGCTGTCCGCAAGCATGCACGATGAAGAGACAGGTATAGTGGCCGTGAGTGCCAATGAGACTTGAACATGTGTTTCTTATCAGCGGCGTAGGGGGTCTCACTCATCAAACCAGAGTGCCGTCAATCCGCCACCAGGCCTTCTCACACGCAGTGGAATAATATAATGCTCCTGTGCTGGCCTGCAAAGAAGCACTCTGGAACACCGTCACGAGGAGGTGGATAGATCGCCATGAACCGCACGAGTCCCGAGGGAAACGGGTCCCGGACCCAGGGCCTTCCACCAATGCCAACGTTTCGCCCCGAGTCGTTTGACAGTCCAGGGGCCACTGGAGGGCCTCGGGAGCCCGAAAACCGTGAAACAACCGCGCGGCCGCTTCCCTCGAGACACCACCACAACCATCATCATCACCATCACGATCACCATCACCCCCAACATCCTGATCATCCTCATCAACATCTTCATCCTCATCATCAACATCACCATCACCAGCCGGCACGGTTATGGTGCAGCCGTCTCGGGGATGCACCGGGGCCGTGCGTGTGTGCCCGTATTAAGTTCGCTGTGTTGCCACTTGGAGCCATCTTGGAGGTATCTTGGGCCCTCCCGGGCCTCCCTGGGCTCTCGTGGGGGCGTCTTGGAGCCTGATCGGGTCGTCTTGCGCCGTCGTGGGGCCCTCTTGGATATTCTTGGGCTCCCGCGGAAGTCCTTGTGCGGCCTCCTGTGGGCGCTCCTGTGGGCGCTCCGGACCGCTCTTTGCCCGCGTCGAGGTCCGTCCCATCAGATCTGCTCCGAATTGAGGAACGACGCCACGTGACACGCTCAACATCTGACAGGATTCTCATGGGGCTTGACTGCTGTGGGCGGTCGAGGGGTCCTCTGGGGGTCCGCCTGTGGTCATCGCAGCCCTCCTTGGCCCCCCCGGGGCCCCTCGGAGAGCCGGCCGCGCGTGCCGCCGCGGCCGCGCGTGCCGTCCCGCGGGCTCTCGGGTGACGAAGCCTCCCACAAGGGGTCCGAGCAGATGCTTTGGACGCCCGAAATGGGTACCGAAAGAATGGGTACAATGCCCAACAGCAAATGTTGTCCCAACCCAACAGCAGCCGCTGTTGGGCAGGCGGCATCCTGTCTCGAATGGACACAGGCCGCGGCGGCGTGGACAGCGAGCCCTGTTCAAAATGAGCAGGATCCGCTGTTGGGCATTGTACCCGTTCTTTCAGTACCCATTTCGTGCGTGCAGAGATGGGGTCGGAGGATCGCGCCGCGGGGCCGCTGCGTCGGCGATGCATCGCCGAAGCGCTGGCGGCGCGGCGGCGACGTCGTCGATGCATCGGCACCGTCGGCGTGGAGAGGCTCGGGCTCCTCAGCGAGCCGTGCCGCAGGTGCATCGGCGACGCGGCGCGAACCTCCGACACCATCTGCTCGGGCCCCATCCGGGGGGGCCTGCATTGCAGCCTCCTGGTGTAGCCCCGAGGGTCTCTGGGGAAGCTTCGGGACGGGGGCGGGGCGCTTCAAACTGTGGTCTGGGGGCCCCCGTTGAGGGGAAGCCAAGGGGGCCAGCGTCACTTGGCTGGGCTTCGCGTATACGACAGACGCACGACACACAAACCTACGAAACAGACAATCAGGGACCTGGCACCACGCTGTTTAAAACGCGCTTGCGCTTAGAACAAAAAACAACACGAATCCGAAAATGTTTAATACAAATTCAGAAAGCTACGGGTGAAAACGAAAACGAACACGAAACGATACCGCTTTTCTACGAGACAACAAAACGACACACAAAACGACCTCTGTAAACCATTTTGGAAACAACATGGAAAATGACACGATGACATGGACAGATGGCTGAGGACGGGGCAGCATTGGATGGGGTTTGGGGCCAGGGCGGACGCGAGGGGCTCGAAGCAAACAAACCGACCAAATAACACGAACCAACCAAAAAGAACAAACGACTAATCAGGGCTGCGGCGAGGGGCACAATGCCAAGGCTTAGGACGAGGTCCTGTCTGAAACTTGTGCGAAAACAAACGGAACAACAATAAGAACGAAACGAAAGAAGAACCCGGGCTGCGGCGAGGGCCGCAAGGCCAGGGCAAAGACGAGGGACTGGGTCCCGAGACTCGTGCGATGCCAATCAAACAACGAAACGATGAAACCGAGCCAGGGCTGCGGCGAGGCTACAGGGCCAGGGCGAGGGGCGAGGGGCCCGTTTTTGAGGACTGGCGACAGCACACAAACAACAAAACGAGCTCACCACCAGGGCTGCGGCGAGGGGCTGCATGGCCAGGGCGAGGGGCGGGGTTCCATTGGAGGCCTCTGCGAGAACAAGCAAACGAGCAGCGAAAGGAACAGCCAACCGGAGCTGCGGCGGGGGCCACGAGACCAGGGCGAAGGGCGTTGGGGCAAGGTCCCGCGTGGAGGCTCGTGCGAAAAAAGATGAGACAAGTTGAATCCCATGGCACGCACGCAGAGGGAGGTGCTGTTCGGCGAGTCACTGGTGGGCAACACCATTTCGCAACATGCGGCAACAAGTCACGCAAATAATACACGCATTACCGTCCTCCTCAACCCCTCCTGCCAAATGCACATAGCACGTAACATCCTCCGTCATGTCTCACCTCTCATCGCTGCGTCATGCTCTCTGGTCCTCGCTCCTCTCATGCAAATTTACGTTCCTCCTCTCGGTGAGCTGGCGATCTTTACGTGCTGTCCCTTTGAGATCGTTGATATCAGCAGCCATTTACACTGAATTTGCGGGAAGCGTTGGTCAGTAAATCCCACCGTTTCAAAGAACATCAAATACACTTCAAGTGGCGAGAAAAACGGTTCCTGCCATCAAGAGTCACCATGCCGTCGCTGAATATCATGCGCTCGCCCTCGCGGATGACCTGGGGAACGCAATGTGTTGGCAATCGATGATCCAGACTGCTGTTCCGACATCCGCAAACTTATCTCACCTCGCCCTCTTCAACCCCCTTTCATCAACTAGTCACTTAAATACGTGATCTTCTCCACCCCACAAGGGATGATGAGGGATAGGATGTGAACGGGAGGCGAATGAGGAGGCGGAACAGGAAGAGGATCCAAGCAAGCGTGAAAGCATCAGCAATAGGGACTTGGCAACACTTGAACTAGAAAAAACATAAGCAACAACATACATATGCAGATACACATGCAGAGACAAGTAATGAAGCAGAAGCAGATACACATACCAAACATAAGCAGACTAAGAAGGCATTACACATGCAGAGACAAGTAATGATACATCCTGGCGTGTCATGATGCGTAGTAGTCGATATCATGAGGCGTTGCTACCAACTGCCCTCATTTATCATGCACATGATCCGAACCTCGATGTACGCTTGTGATGCCCAGACAGTGCCTGTATTTTGACTGGCCCTTGCAGGATTCAAAGCAGACCTTTGGAGGGCTCCTGGACTCTTAGCAACGTGGCCTCCAATACCTCCTATACGTGCTCCCGTCGTGCGTGGTCCACTTCTTGGTGGGTGCTCAGGGCTCCTGTGGTTTGGCTTCGGCTCCTGTGGCTTGGCTCGCTGAGTGGACTCGCACGGCTTCCCTTCCCGCTGACCCGGAAAGGCGCATCCGTCGGTGTGCGCTTCGACCCACCCGGCTTGGCTCCCCGTGTGTGCTCCCCATTTGCCCTGGTGGTGCCCGCTTCGGTCGGGCGCTGTAGGCTCCCCTGTGGTTGGGCTCTTCGGCCAAGTGCTCTGGACTCGGGGAACCAGAAGGTACAGTCGGGGTCGATTGGAGAGGACACGCGAGAGGACACAAGACCCTCCCGAGGGCCACCTTGCCATAGGAATACAGAAGGCAGGGGTCGCGAAACACAGGACACAAGGTCACCCTTGATTTGGCAGGGTCGACCCACTCATCAGGCTCGACTGTACCGATACAGCTACTCCGGACCTCTCCTGGCTTGCGCTGTCGAGAGGAATCTGGCCGTAGCGACGACTCTCCAAGGAGGCCCCGAAAACTAAGAAGAGGCAAAAGGTGACGATATCGGAACCTACTCCTCGTCTGATGGACTCAAACATCTTGCTCATGCGAGGCAGGTACACGGTCGGTGCCGGGCACCCTTTTGGACGAAATCAAAACGAAAACGGTCTACGAAATCGCCCAAACACCGTTTAGCTCGAACCCTGGTGTGGGCTCCCACAGCTTGACGCCCCACCGGCCTGGGGTGCCGCACATTTTTGTTGCTGATGCGTTTGAGTTCTGCTCGGGCTCACGCGGCTTCTCGCCCCGCTGAAAACCTATGTGCGCACATTTGTGGGCGGCTGTCTGGACTCTTAATTATGGCTTCCCCTGCCAGAACCAGAGATCCGAGGCTCCGAACAAAAACGGAGCTGCATTTGTTCGTAATCTGTAGTGGTATTATAATCTAGTCTAAATTTCGATAATATGGTATGAATATGCAATATGATTTAAATGGTTGGCCTCGGCGGGCCCTCGAGGGGCCATAGGGGCAGTCGCAGAACGATTCAGGCTGGAGAGCTGGCCCTGGGGAAGCCGTGCAGACCTCCGGGGGCCCACGCATCGACAAAAGTCGGAGCGCCGGGTGTCTGGCCTCCTCCTCCTCCTCCTCCTCCTCCTCCTCCTCCTCCTCCTCCTCCTCCCTCCTCCTCCTCCTCCTCTTCCTCCTCCTCCTCCTCTCCTCCTCCTCCTCCTCCTCCTTCTCCTCCTCCTCCTTCTCCTCGACAAAAGTCGGAGCGCCGGGTGTCTGTGAAGCGCCGGTGTCCGTCGGACACACAAAGAAATACACACAACTAAGAGAATTCCCAATATTTTCCCATATTTTCTGGGTTTCTGTCTTCCCCCCCACTTCTCATATTTTCCCATACCTTTGGGGAAGTCGAAGATTAATTGTGTCTGTGTGTTTCTTTTCCTCCTGAGTCTGGGGTGGCACTGGGCAACATGGACCACAGCTTCTGATTTCCGCGCGCATTGGGCTCACACGCGTGGCTCCACAGGGAGGTTCCCACAAACAGGGTGCTCCGCACACAGAGCAAGGATCCACAGACACGGAACGGCACCCTGCAGCTGTGTGGTGTCCCTACGCTGGCATCCTTGCTTGACTCATACTCGCTCTTCTACGTGATAACACCAAACTTCCGCAAAGACAATTCAAGCTGCATCTTCTGCCGCCATGGTCGCTGCACTCGAACGTGGACAAGGTGCAAAACAAACATGCATCCTTCACGGTGCTGTCGACAACCTGGAGGGAAGGCACATGCTGTTTTAATTCATATCGCAGGTACCCGAACCAATCAACATGAACAACGCATTCCTGTGGTGGTATTGTATGCCACACGAACTGCCCGCGCGTGTATGAGCGTATGTAAGTGTTTGCGCGAAGAAAGCTAACGCGCGATTACGTTCTTGCTGGGATAGATGTGCAGACCTGGACACACGCGCCAAAACACACGAACGAACTCAACCATGGGGCTGATCTGCAAACCGATTCGCGGGCGAACCTCTGGACGATAACCTGTCGAAAACCGCCAACGTCCCGTCCCGTGCGGTTGCCTGCCTCAAGATGGCCGAATCCAAGACGGCCTCGACTGGCCCAAAATGATCCTACACAGCCCTGCGGACTGCAAACATGGCCGGACTGCCAAAAAGATGGCTCGAGATCGCCGAATCAGCTCCCAACGTAGGCTCACAAAGAAGCGGAAATCATTCAAACACCGCCGCCTTTCTATCATGTTGGCGTTTGTGCCCTTGTGGATCTCAGTGGGTTTCTGACGCCCCGAGGTGGCCGCGAGCGCCCTAAAGGTGCCCCAAAAAGCCATAACGTGGCCCCAAGAGGGCTCCATCCACGCGGGCCCCATGGGAGACCCCAAGAACGGCCGAAGACCTCAATCCACAAGATGGCTCCAAGAGTTACCAGCCTGGAACATATCCCTATCCCTAGGCTGGGCACCTCCTCATCACGGTGCCAATCTTAGGGATTCCCTTATTTTTCTGAGGGCGAATCCCTAAGATTGTCATCGCCTTTTGGCGTGTCAATCTTAGGGATAGGGAGACGTTCGAGGCTGGTAAAAGAGGCCCCGAGGTGGCTGAACATCGTCCGAGAAACTCAAACAAGGCTCGGAGAAGCCCAACGAATCCCCCAGGGGACCCCAAGGCGCCTTCCGGAAACCCACACCATTTCCCCGAGAGGCTCGGACAGCCCACAGTGGTGATCAACATGGCATCACCGTTCTTTCCTGGGCATGGCTGCCGACGGCGAATCGGCGATGGGAGCGTGTGAAGGGGAACTGGGACACACAAATAAATACACACAAATAAACAGATTCCCCATATTTTCTTATATTTTCTGTGTTTTTGTCTTCCCCCACACTTCCCACATTTTCCCATATTTTCTGGGAATCGCCAGTTAATTGTGTGTGTGTGTTTTTGTTTCCCCTTCCTGAGCGTGTTCTGTCGAGTGCCGCCCTCAGTCCTCCAAGCGACCATCTTCCACCGCGCGAGCTCCACGCGGCAGCGCGGACAGAGACGATGGAGCATGGGCTGGCGGGATGAGCGGCTCGGCAAAACGACTCCCCGCTTTTCTCCCGGTGGCCGCGAATGCGCATGTCGCGTCCGCCGATCCCCACCGTCGGGGGGGGGAACGGGCGCGTGAGACGCGCGGTTGTCTCCCCCCCTCGTCGCCCCCTCCACTTCTCCCCCGCCGCCCGCCAGGGGACAACGTCTCGTCTGACGCACCCCCAGGTCTGTCGGAGTCCCCGCGCAACCCGGGATAATCGACAATGGCCAAAGTGCAGTTTAAGGCATGGCCCAGGGAAAGCTCCAACACGCACGCCGGAGAGGCAACAAAAAAACGCACACGAATTGCCCCAAGACGGCCCCAGAGGCAGAGGGCCAAAGAGAACCACCTAAAGGGCCGCAGCAGGCGCACGTCGCGTTTACGCACGTGCATTCTATGTAGATTCACATGTTTATATATATACACATATATTTATGTATATGTGTATATATAAAGAGGGAGAGGGAGAGAGAGAGAGAGAGAGAAAAAAAAAACAACAACAAATCAGCCCCCCGACCCCCCCAGCACCCCGTCCCTTCAGCGAGCGATCGCTCCGACGATCCTCCTCCTCCTCCTCATCCTCCTCCTGCTCCTCCACCCGTCCTTCCCCCACCACGTTTTACTCGTCATTCGCCTCCTCATCGTCCTCCTCCTCTCCTTCCTCCTTCTTTTCCTATCTCTCATCATCCTCCCTCCTCCTTTTTTTCGTCCACCTCCCCATCCTCGTCTTCATCTTCTTCCTCCGCCTCAGTCTCCTCTCCGATTGGCTGGGAGGGCGTTCGACTCGTTGCGATTGCAAGCCACTGGAATACCATCCAACCGATAACAAACAAATGTATTGCATAGCGGCCGATTGCAATCCACTCGGTTGCAATCCAATGCGTCGCAAGCCAAACGATTGAAAGCCAGCCGATTGCGCTCCAATGGGCCCCCGCAGCGAGCGACCACTTCGATGATCCGTCTCCTGCTCTTCCTGCTCCTCCTGTTCATTTTCCTCCTTTTCCTCTTCCTCCTCATCCTTCTCCTCCTCCTCCTCCTGCCCCTCATCCTCCTCGCTTGTCCTTGTTTTCGTCTGCCTCCTCATCCCCATCTTCCCCTTCTTCCTCTGCCTCAGCTTCACTGGGTGCAACCGTCCATACTTTGCCCTGAATCGAGCGTTTGCTTTTGTTGTTGGCTACTTTTCTTCCCATCGCTGGCGCCGCAGCGCGCCATGCCAGCTTCATCGAAGAATGCAATCAATATTAAAACCGACAAGTGTCGTGATCGCACGCGCGCCCTGACAACGATGAATTGGGTCGCCAAGCCGTGGGCCAAACAGTGCCTCAAGGAGGCTGCGCAAAAACGCTTGCGGACATACCGCGACACGCGCGCGGCCTTGCGGCCAAGAGAAAGCCGCCCCCGCTCAGCAGGTCAAGCGCCAGCGCAAGAACTTGTTCCACATGCGTCGCGACGTCCTCTTGGCCCAGTTGCCGAGGTGACATTAAACGCACTTCGTTGACTTCCATACGCAAAGCCGCAACAACATAACAGGCGAACGACGACGCCGCACCGCCGAATCCACCGCGCCACTGCAGCACGGCAGTTGTAAGCCCTTAGCAACGCGCAACAGCTCAACCACACCATTCAACAACCCCACCACCAAACAACGGCAACAACAATATCATCAACGACGCCAAGAAGACGCACCACCACGCAGCAATACAACGCACACGAGAAACACCGACCAGCGCGCACCCAAGAACAACTAGAAGGCTGTCCATAAGGCCAAGAGCAAGAACGACAAGCTGGAGCACCTGGTCGAGGAAACGGCGCGCCTGAGGCACGGCGGCACGCCTGAGGGGAGCGAGTAAGGGCCGACCTTCTAAAAAAGCAGGGAAGGAGCGTTTGACAAGAGAACTGCTTGCGAGGGGCGTCTGCGGGCCTCGTGGAGGTCGTCCGCGCGACCCCTCGGGAGCGGCTTCCAGGCCAGCCAACCCCGCTTGCATTCCTTTCGGCGCCTTGTCGAAACGCAGAAGGCCAGAGCCCAGGGCAAGGCGAAACGCGCGGCCGCGGCCACAAAGGAGGGGTTGAGGAAGCGCGAGAGCCTTCAGCAAGCACATTCTGAGAAGAAGGCTTGGCTCTGGGGCAATTAAACCTTTGTGAATGCCGGCGAACTTCGGCGCTAACCGATGCGCGCTCTTGGTAGGGCATGGCGAAGTCCGTCGGCCTTCAACGCCCCCCCGACAAAAACAAAGGTCCAGCGTTCCTCTCCGAAAGTGCAGGCTAACTGCAACAGCCTTTCGTCGGAGACGTGACGCTTCATCTCTCTGGCCACGGTCGCGCAGCGGGAGAAGAACTTCGAGCTCGCGAAGAAGACTCGGAGAAGCACCCGTAGTGTTTTGGCGACCAGTAGGCTGGCTGCCGCCGCATACCGAATTCGGTTGCAAGGCGGTCAAACGAGCAGACCCCGAAAAACAACCGCTGGGGCCAGATCTAGCGCAGGCGAGAGGGGCATCCTGTTTTGGAGGCCCCTTCCAAATAACCCCGAGACGGCAGACGATGCCACTGCCTCCCTCCGCAAGACCGCGCTAAGACGGCCCGAGTAGCCTCCACGACCGCCCCAATACGATCCGAGAGGCCTCCAAGACGGCCACTCGGCGGTTCCGAGCAGAAGCAGCGCGACACGACAGGGCAACACGCAGCAACACCCAACCAACGAGAAATAGCAACATGCAGCGGCAATGCAATCTTAATGCAGAGCAGCGGGTGAACACGTCCAGTTCGTGCGTAAAACGAAATCCAGCTTCTAGGACGCCCGCGTTGGGGCGGACATCGCAAACGCAAAAACATCACATGCACATTCGTAATCAAACGCTGCGCTGCAAAGGGGAAACCACCAGCGTGCTGGACACGCAGACAATCGCACTTGCACGTCTCGCCTGCACGCAATTGTGCGCTTCTTCCGTTAGAGGAGGATGGGCGCCAGGAAGACGGGGAAACGCTGCAAGACGTCAATCGATGATGCATTGGGAATGGAGGGCAGTGGCGAGGAGAATGCAGTGCAGCAGTTAACACATCGCGTGTAATAGATCGGCATGAGGACGAACTGGGGAGGATAAGGAGGAGAAGGAGGGAGGCAGGAGGAGGAGGGGGAGGAGGAGGAGGAAGCGAGCAATGAGGGGTCACAGGCAGGAGGAGGAGGAGGAAGACCAGGCGGAGGAGGAGGAAGGGGGGGAGCGCGGGAGGAGAAAGAGAAGGCGGAGGAGGAATGGGGGGTCAGGAGCAAAGAAGGAAGAACAGGCGGAGGAGGAGGAATAGGAGGAGGAGGAAGAGGAGCAACAGCAGCAACCGCAGCTGCATTGCCACGAAACCATTGTATTCACATGTCTGTTTGTTATGTATTGGCGGTGCCACCAAACGCTGCCATTGACGTTTTTTGGGTTTTCCGAAGTTCTATAAGTTCCCTCGCCACGAAACTATACTGGACCTCCCGAAGCCCAAAAACACAGAAAACAAAACAACATGTGAATACCAATGTTCGGTGGCATTCCTAACCGGAAAAACGAAACATGTGAATAGCATGGTTTCTTGGCAACAAGCCCACCAACCACGGCCATTCACAATTGCTGTGTTTTGTGTCTGCAGCCGCAGCGATCCTAGCTCCGCTTGCAGATCTCCAAACACGCAAAAAACATGTGAGTAGCAATGTTTGGTGGCATCCCTGACCGACAACATACAATAACACTGTGAATAGCGTAGATTCGTGGCCACCCTCCTCCCGCAAGTTGTGTTGGCGAAGGAAGAGGAGGAGGAACAAGAAAAGGAAAGGAGGAGGAACGGGAAGAGGAGAAGGAACGGAGAAAGAGCGAGACAGAGAGAAGCACAGCGATAGGTCCACACGGGGTGCTCGGGGGGCTGACCAAACATATGTGTGCATAGAGCTCATAAGTCTTCTGAAGTATTCATATGCATTTGCATGAACACCATGTTCCTCTGTATGTGTATATACACATACCTATGATACACATCTACCACATCTGTATATTTGTATATATATATATATATATACACATGCATATAGGTGTGTGCGCATATGCTTGTTCCAAGTGTAAAAAAAAACACATCGAGATCTCACCAAGCGTCGCAGTCAGTCTAGTTGGAAACACCGCTCGCGCCGCCCAGAAAAATGCAGGTAACCAGCGGCGTGATGTCTTATCGTCGTCGTCATCCTCTTCCCTAGGTGATCAGAACATCCAGTGCGAGCCACGGCCAGGCCGCTATTCGGGGGATTTGTTGGGGAATTCCTGGTTCTCCTGAATGTTCCAAGACTTTCTGGGATCTCTGGATTTTCTGGATTGTCTGGAGTTTCCAGAAAATTTCTGGGATGTCTGGCATTTCGGGAATGAGAGTCCCAGGGGCCCAGAGTCTTCGAGAGATCGCTCCGAGGCGCCCAAGATGGCTTCAGACGGCCCGAGCAGTTCCAAGACGCCACAAGATGCCCTCGAAGAGCACTCCCAAGAGGGCCCAACGAGGCTGCAGGTTGTTGTCAGACTGGGACGGTTCTGTTTTTTCGGCTTCCCGACGCTGCAAGACGGCCCACGAGGCTTCAAATATAAATCGAAGACGACTTAAGAGGCCCCCAGGAAGGCGCCGAGACGGCCAGAGTGAGGGGCCTCCAAGGCGGCCCCAAGAGGTCTCCAGGACGGCTCAAGAGGGCGTTCCAAGAAACTCGCGGGAGGCTCCAAGCGGACCTTGAGACGCCCCCAAGAGGCTCTGGACGTTCAGACAGGAGGTCCCCTGGAAGCCCCAAAATGCCCATAAGAGGCTCCCCAAAGACACCCTGGAAGCTTCAAGAAACCCCCAAGAAGACCCCAAGATGCCCCCAAGAGCCCTCAAAACTGCCCCTTCAAAAGATCCCGGGAGCCCTCCGAAGAGACCCCGAGAAACATCCACGAGGACTCTGACCCACCAGCCAGGCATGGTGGCGGGATGGGCCGCAGGCGACTGGATCCACCACCCCCTGTTGATTTATCACAAGGGTGCCTGGCTTGGTTTTGGTTTGTTTCCAAAAGAACTCCCCCTGGAGCTTCGGCTCAGCGCGCCGGCTGCTCATCCCGCCGACGGCCTGCGTTTGGCTTCCAAGACGGCCAGGATACACCCACAACGACCAAGATGGCCCCAATTTGGCCTCCGCGACAGCCCAAGGTGTCTCCAAGACCGCTAGGATGGCCTCGAGATGGCTCAGGACGGCCCAGGGCCCCGAAGGGGCGTTCAAGACGGCCCAAGAGGCCTCCGAACGGTCTTCCAGGGAGAGCCGAAGAGGCCCGAATCCTTTATTTGCCTTCCATGTTTGAACGTGTTTTCTCAGATTGAAATATGTTGTTTCAATGTTTGAGCGGTGTTGGCATCTGCTTCTCTTCGGCCTTCCGAAAACCTAAGACTGCCCAAGAGGCACCCAAGATCGCCCCCCAAAGTGCTCAGCAGACGCCCAAGATCGCTCGCAATATCGCCCCCGGGTGCGCGAAGTCCTTCGAGGCGCCCAAGATGGCCTCCCAAACAGCCCTGAAGCGCCCCAAAAGGGCAGGAAGCCCCCGAAAGGCTCCCAAGAGGCGCAAGGAGGCCCCCAAGAGACTTCCACGAGGGCTCCAGGAAGCTCCCAGGAGGCCCCAAGAGTTCCCCAAGAGGCTCTCAAGAGGCCTCCTCCTCCTCCTCCTCCTCCTCCTCCTCCTCCTCCTCATCTTCCTTCTCCTCCTCCCTATCCTCCCTCTCCTGATCTTCCCCACCTCATCCTCCCCCAAGTGTTCCCCGAAGAGTTTCTAGCTCGAGCGATGCAATGCAATGCCCGGTTCTGGCGGTCCGTGCGGCTAAACTGTGCGAGCCACGCTGCAAGGGTGAGGAGGACGAGGCAATGGAGGCATGACGGGGGATAACGAGGAAGATGACGACGAGGACGACGCGAATGAACGACGAAAACGACAACATCAAGTGCGACGAATACGTGGTCGGTGAAGACGACGGCGACGATGACGACGACCAGAAGAGAGAACCCTTAGGGGGGGACTCCATGTGTCGAAACCCTTTCATTCCCTGTCCATTCCAGTTCCGTCTGTTCTGTGGGGACACGCCAATGTCGCTCTCATGTCGTCCTCGTTACTCCTCCTCCTCCTCCATTCCCTCCATTCCCTCCTCCATTCCCTCCTCCTCCTCCTCCTCCTCCTGTTTATCCTCCTCCTCTTCTTCCTCCTCCTCCTCCTCGTCCTCCTCCTCCATCATTTCCAACTTATCCCACCCTCTTCCATTTGTCCGCCTCCTCCGACCCTCCCGTCCCCCTCAAAACGCTCCCCAACAACTCCTCAGGAAGCACGTCGACGGCGTCGGAAGCGCCAGGTGCGTCCGATGTGGCCGATAACCCGTTTGGTGCGAGCTGATGAGGAGCCGTCGCAAAGATGGCGTAATAGAGGAAGGGTATACCGTAAGGAAGCACAGCGCAGGAAACACACACCAGCGTGGCCGACCATAACGCCGTACAAAACTGCATCGTGCAGGGCGCCATGACACGCCAACACAGAACGCATAGCTGTGACACGCAATATGGCACAGCAAACCACAGCATGACATAGCACTAGTAGAAGGATAGCTGACCACATAAACACAAACTGTTGGCGCCCAGGCGCGGGTGCAAGACATCCGCGCGCAGCGCCAAAAGTTTCTGTGTACGCGGTTGTTTCTTCTTCGAACTATAGCTCCCTCCTCCCCCCGCCCGCCTCCCGCGGTTCCTTCCGCTCCCCCCTGCCCGGCCTCCTCCTCCAACCCCCCCCGTCGCTTCCGGCTTGCCGCCCCCCCCCCCTTCCCTGCCTCGCTCCCCACCTCCTCGCTCGCCCCCGGCCTGCCCTCCTCCCCGCCTGCCTCCCCCTCCTCCCCTGCCCGTCCCCGCCTCCCCTCCCCTCTCCGTCGCTCCCTCGCTCCCTCCCTCCCCCCTCCTCCGCCCCCTCCTCTGCCGCCCTGCCTGCCTCCTCTTGCCTTCTCCAACCCCGCCCCCCGCCTCCTCCTTCGCTCCGCTCAGCGGTCCCCCCCTCTCTGCCCCCCCCCCCGCCCTGCAAAGGGACCCCTCGCCGCGCGCCTGGCCCATGATCATCCAGACGCCCGCGTCGTGTGACTCCAGCTTCACGCTGACGCTGATGGAGGTCTGCCTCGCCCTCCCCCCTCTCGCAGCTCGTCCACACCCTCGCCCTCATCATCCCTGTTCCCGTCCCTGCCCCCTCTTCCTGTCTTTCCCCTACTCGTCCTCGTGCTCAGCCTCTTCTGTCATCCACCCCTGTCCTCCTCGTCCACATCCTCCTCCCTCGCCCTCCTCGTCCTCCTCCCTTGGTCCTTCTCTCAGTCGTCCTCGTCCTCCTCCTCCTCCTCCTCCTCCTTCTCCTCCTCTACCCTCCTCTATCACGGTGTGCCTCTTCCTGCGTCATAACCTCCTCTAGTAGACCCTAGCATCGACCTCGATGTTGATGACCGCACCCTCCTGCTCTCCCTCGTAGCGGAGCTCGGGAACATCAGGTCGCTGAGCTCCCTCAGCGAGGCGAATGTGGTCGAACGCGCCCAGTGGCTGGGCAAGGGCGAATCTCTGACCCCTTCAAAACATTCTGGGCAGATCTCTGCCCCGAATCCACAAGTGACGGACCCCCTCTGGGGAGGTCGTGATGAGCGAGGTGAGAGCATTGGAGCGGGGCCCAAGGAGTCAGAGGTCCAGTTCGCGCTCCGTGCCACTACTGCACGGGCTTCCAGCGGAAGTGGTGAATTCAATATGACTTACGAGTACTGCGAGGAGTACGCCGAAGAGAACAGTGCAGACGACCCCATGTGGTCATGGGAGAACCCCGCCAAAGGGAGTCCGCCTGAGACTACCGCGACGGTCCTCGGGCTCTCTGCGAGCGAAGTGGCGTTGAGGGAGGCCGACCCCTCCGTCTACGCCGCCAACCAAGCCAGGTCTTCAAAAGCAGCGAGGGAACTGCTCGGGCTCGACACGGACGAGTCCGTCAGCAAGACTGACCAGGAGGACCTCGAGGAGCAGGACGCCCTGCTCGAGGCCGTCCCCGACGCCGTCACCCACGCCGAGCGCCACACGCGCCGCTGCGGGTGGCGTGGGCGGACCTGGAGGACTCTGAGAGCGAGCGCGACCAGGCCAGTCCAGAACAGAGCTGGCGGACCTGGACAGAACGCGCAGCGAGGAACTTCCTCGGGCTCGACTCCGCCGGCGAGACCGATCCGGAAGGCCTCGGGGAGCAGGACGCCCTAGCTACTCCACGCCACCCCCGACGCCGAGCGCCACAGCGTGCCGCTGCGGGTGGTGTGGGCGGACTCGGAGGGCTCCGAGAGCGAATACGACGAGGAGTGGGAGCGGATGCACGGCCGCGATTGGGCCGAGGCGACCACCACGAGTGGCCAGCCGCAACGCGGCGAGGCCGGCCACCGAGCGGCGCGGCCGGCAGCCGCCGGCGTAGCAGGCGACTGAGCAGCGCGGCCGGCCAGGGCGCCCTCCAAAGCGAGGCGCCTGGCCATCCGTCCCCTGGCGGATTACACCCTGCTTAATGCTTAAGAAATCATGGGTTCAGAAGTTCATAGTCTGAGAATTTGAGCAAAAACCCAGAACTTCTGTCAACATCTTAGGGTTTGCATTGAAGCATTTTAAGAATCATCGAGACTCTGGCCGAACACTTAAGTTTTCTTAAGCATCGCCCAGGGTGTAAAGAGCCCCGGAGTTGATTCTTCGTCTCACGCTGCCCCCGTCCTGGCGGGGCTGTCTGCAAGCGCTCCCGCCTCCGGGCACGTGGGGGCATGATGCCAAGCATGTTTTTCCGAAGCAGATCCTCAGTCGCCTCGACCCTGAGCGGATCTTCACCCAGGGTTCTCAATCCTTGTTCGGTTGCTCCCTTCACCTAGCCCCCTAGCATCGACCTCGTCCTATCCCTGCTCATCATCCTGGTCCTCGTCCTACTCTTCCGCCAACTCTTGTTACATGTGTTTCACATTCCTCATTTTGTTCCTCCTCTCCTGTTCCAATTCGTCCTCTTGCCACGTCATTTTGCGGGTTCGCTGTGGGGGAGCGACAACGCGGGAAGAAAGCGGTGAAGGAGGACGAAAGAGAAAAGTTTGCCACCACTACAAAGATGGGGCCCTGGAGCATGGGGCCAAAGGGCGAAGAGGCCCTGAGCAGTGCAAGCTCCATGTGGACGTCCCTTCCTGCCCTCAGGCTCCCCTTTCCTGAGAGCCCCGTCTTCAAGGGCTTCCAACTTCGCGCTCTCGCGCCGCCTCCCAGGGGAGAAGCAAAGGCCCTAAAATCCCCGAACGAGGGGGGGGGGAGGGGAGCTGCTGCGGCGGAGCAGGGCGCGGGGACGGATGCGCGCGGCTCCCGAGAGAGCCGACGGCCCCTGGGTCAGACAACGCTGTGGGCAACGCAGCGCGCCGTCCGTCGCCAGCAAGGCCCCACCCCTCAGAAATATTCGGGGATCTGCTAACCGGGGTCAATCAGACCCGGGTCAGCAGGAGACCAAAAACTGCCATGCTAGACAGGAAACAAAACTGCAACGCAGGTCTTCGCAAACCTGCGTCAACCAATATACGCGGCCGCCTCGCGGCCACGAGCGGCTCGCTAACCCGGGTCAGCCAGAGAGGGTATTCGGAGGATGCTGCAGGATCCGGTGGCCTGGCTGACCCCTGTTTGCATTGACCCCCGTCTCAAGGCTCCCGAAATATCCGATGCGCACCGCAGCCGGTGAGGGTAGACAAGCGCGCCACTGCTTGCAAAACAACTGCTCGACAATGGCCTGAATCTGCCGCGGGGGATCGACGATCCACTGCATTGAGGCAGGCCTATGCTTTTCGGACGTTTGCGAGTAGACACTTTGCGAGAAGCGGAACGCGCTCGGTGAGAAGAGGAGGAGGAAGAGGAGGAGGAGGAGGAGGAGGATGAGGAGGAGGAGAAGCAGGAGCAGGAGCAGGAGCAGCAGGGAGGGAGGCACGTTCTTCACCTTGTTGCGCCCTCTGCAAGAAGTCGAGCTCCACCCCACCCGAGCGATCCTCGCCGTCTGCTTTGCGGGCCATTACCCGGGCCTCTGCCGGCCGTCCGGGGCGACCCGGGCATCCCCGACGCGTCCTCGGCGAGGCACAGCTGCTGAAGACCATCCAGAGCTGACTACCTACCAGACCACCCCAACCCAACCCGAAGACCCGAATTTCGGGTTGGGGGGGGTAAGGCTTCCACATGTGTTTTTTCGATGTTTCCCGACCCCCCCCCCCACCCCCTGGAAATCGAGGGTAAATCTGAGCCTTCGGGTTGGGTTGGGGTGGTTTGGTGGGTGGTGAAGAGCGAGGGACACCGCCGAGAAACCGACCGACGAAAAAACGGAGGAGGAGGAGCGAGGAGGAGGAGGAGGAGCGAGGAGGAGGAGGAGCGAGGGAATCGCCGAGAGACCGACCGCCGAAAAAACGTCCGAGGAGGTCGCGCCACCCCTCCGATCCAGCGCCCGCCCGCCTCTCGCTCCCCCCCGACGTCCCCCGCTGTCCACGGCGCCGCGTCTCCCTCGCGCACCCGCGCCTTCCTCGTGCACCGCGCATCCTCCAGACTTCGTAATGAAAGGGAGGGGGTCTGGACCCTCCAAGACAAGCCATTTCAGACCTCCCCCGTGGGAGAACCCTCCAAAACATCGTCCCAGACCCCCCAGGCCCTCCAAGATAGCCTGGAAGAGACCCCCCCCCGAAATGAGACCCCCCTCCCTTTATTACGAAATCTGGAGTACTGCTCCACCGTTATGCTGCGCGCGACCTGGCACGCTCGCCCACGACCCGCAAAAAGCTGGCACGCCTGATCACGGCCCCCACGCACGATTGCCGTGCTATTCGCTTCACGCCCCCCCGCCCCACCCGAAAGACTGATGCGTGAAATGCCCAGTGTATCTCTTGATCCAGCCTTTCGGTGGAGGCTCGGGGACCTCCTCAAGCTTGTGTGTCCTGTCTTTCTTATCCTTGTCCTTCTTCTTCTTGTCCTTTTTGTCTTTGTCCTTCTTTCCTTTGTCCTTCTCCTTTTCCTTATCCCTGTCTTTATCCTTGTCCTTCTCCTTCGCCGTCACATTAATTCACTGAGCAACTAGATCTGGTACAGACATTGAGCGACGATATGGGCAAACATTGCCATGATAGAAAACGCATGCTGCTAGCTAGTCGGGCAAAAAACACCAGGGCGTCTAAACTGGATTTGGTTTCGGTACGCCGCCGAAGCAGGAGACAAACACGAATACTCCTCGTACTCTTCGATTGTTCAAACTGTGCAATGCGAATTCCGGATGTGCCGCTTCCGACTGCTGGCGGCCATCTATTTTGCACGCACCTGTCGAGGGCCACAACTGTGATTACACGAGGGCAACACCACACCACAAACGCTCGAGCTGCGCATGTGCAAACATGATTAGCCACGCCGCTGCTGCACGTCACGCGCGCTCCTGCTGTCATGGTATGCGCATGTAAACGCCGTGCCGCTGGGCATGGAACGGGCGCATCCCAAGGTCCTGCGCTCGCTGCCCTGACCGTCGGTATTCGATCCTGACGGTTCGTCCTGGGCCTGGACCTCGGATTCACACATCTGTTTGGGCTTGCCGCGTGACCTGTTTGGGCCCGAGAAGCCCCAACACGGGCCACGAGGGCCCCAAGAGGTCCCCGAGGACGCCGGACAGGGCCTGGGGTCGCCCCAAGACGGCCTAAGAGGCTCCCAGGACAGCTCCCGAGGCCTCCAAGTATTGTGCCTGTCGATTGACATCTCAGGCACAGTTTTCTCTAAGTTCGTCATATCAAGATGCTCTTGTTTATGATGATCGCGTGCATCTTGCTCAACAGAAGCCGCGAGATCCCGGCGGACCGACGATGTGCCTCCGGCCATGGATAGGGCCCATTGGGCGGAGCTGCTAAAATAGGACGTGTGCATGCGCGAGCCGGCTGGCCGAGAGAGAGTGGGGCGGGGGGCGCGCTTTTACCGATTAAGCAGACTGTGGCTGCGGAGTTCGCTCAAGTCCGTCGCGCCCCTAACCCTGCCAATCCTTAGTTGAACGGAGTGGGCAGGGCAGCATAATCTAGCGAGGGGGGCGTTCGTGACGACTCCCCCCCCGCGGGCTCCTGGCGCGGCTTTGCCGCGCGCTGGCGGGCGTCAGCGCGTCGGCTAGAGCCCCGAGCAGCAGAAGCGGTGCGCGCCAACAGGCTTCGGCAGGTCCTGAGAGCAGAGGACAAACTTCACTCCCTCCCAAGGGCCACTGGGCCCCCACGACGCCAACCCCAAAGACATTTTACGGCGCCGGTGGAAGGGGGGAGTGCTCCTGTCATCGCTCTGCGGGACTAGCCAAAAGCCCATCGGCATGCCCCGCCCTAATAGAGTTGGCGCTGGAGCCCGCCGCCCAGCATTCAGCTCGCAGCGCAGCCAGCCCGCTGAACACCTCGGCGCGCCAGACTTCGCGGGGCCGTGCCACGGAGCGTGCCAGGGCAGCTCAGGACACTGCCCCGACGCCATCTCCCTGCTTTGTCATCGTAGCGCCACTTCGATGGACCATCGCGTCTCTGACTGACCCAGCGCTGTTCCACGAGTGCTGGCTGCCAGATCCCCGCGACTGGTTCCACGAAGACCGGCGGTCGCTTGGATCGGAGCGCCAGGGTGGGCGAGGAGGCGCCACCTCCGTCGGCCGCGGGGGAATAGGCGCTTTTCTCGCGGGCGCCTTTGTCGGCCGCGCGGCCGGGGGCCATGCGTCTGCGCGCGCGCGCCTGGCCACGGTTGCACCGGGCCCTGAACTGGGCGCCCTCCTGGACTGAAGCGCGCGCAAGGGGGCTCTTTGCTCCGGGTCCCGCGGCGAAAGCTGCCGCGCGCGCGCCGACGGAAGGCCTCCTGCCGATCTGGCGGCACATGGCTCTTGCTGCGCTTCAGTGCGCGATCCGGGCCCCAGCTGCCCCCCGATGTCCGCGCCTGGACTGCTCGCGATCGAACTTTCGATGACGGCCCTCTTGCCGCCCTTTTCTCATGCCTGTCCTGAAGTTCAAGCCCCCAGCCTGCTCCAAAGGCACGCAATAATGGTCAGGTCCCACTCGGTCCCCAGCGCGCTGAATATAGCCGAAATAAATGCCGATCCGAAGTCTCGGGCCGGTCATGGGATGTTCAACGCGAGTATCAGGTGGCGGCAAATATCGGACAGCCCAGCCAAAAGGTGCGAGAGGGGAATCGGAAGGTTGCCCGACTCTTTGTTTCCGCGCCGACTCGTCAGCACCCCTCTGTCGCGCATTGTGAAACAGACAGAATAAGGGCACATCGTATGCCCATCATGGCGCGAGCAGCCCAGCATTCGCGAGGAGCGCGCGACCTTCGTCTTGCACGATGCCGTTTGCCGTGTCCACGCCAGACTAACGTTTCTCATTCGCCCGCTGGGTCGAGTCGCGAGCGGCCGCCGACTCGCGCAGTGGATGCGCGCTGAGTGACTTACAGGCCCTCTTGAGCTCAGGTGTCGCGCCCGCGTAAATATAGGCAAAGTGTAGGCGCCCAAAGATTGGCCAGGAAGTCCACGACATTTTCTGCCGATTCGTCGTGGGCGCCTTGCCTTGTCAAGAATCCCACGACCCGGTCGCGCAACGCCGCGCGTGGAGCTTCCCCGTAGAACGCCCTCGAGAGATCATCGGCCGCGAACCAATGGTCCGCGGTGCACGAGCCCCCAGACTCCGTCGGCTCCAAGTGCAGCGGCAAATGCTTAGAGGCCTTGTTATCGTTTTGCCGTTGTTGTGCCCGTAGCGCCGCTGCCCACTGGCAAATCAAGCAGCTTGGGTTTTTTTCGTCAAATTCGCAAATGCTGCTGGGAGAAAGGTTCTGGCTTCAATCTCTCCACTTTGGGCGCCCCCCCGGGCCTGGCGTCCTCTTCGTCTGGGTCATCTCCGCCGAGGTCGCCGACTACCTCGAGGGCTCCAGGTTCCTCTGGCGCGGCCTCGGCGACCTCCCCGTCGCCTGGGGCAGGCGCCGCCTTAGAGCCGCGTGACGCTGTCGCGCGACCCGCCCAGTTCCCCACGCGACTGCCCGCGGCGCCGTCACCGGTCAGGATGTCCAGCGAGGGAGCAACGCTGGCACGACCTGTGCCCGAACCAGTCCAGCCCAACCTGCCGCCAAACGGTGCTCGCAGCAGAAATAAGCGTGCGTGCCCTGACTTTGCGGGGTCGCATCGGTTGAGACACTGCCTCCACCAGAATTGGGAACTCCCATCCATCGCACCGTCAGTGCAGGAGTCTTCGGCAATCACATTTTGCGAGTGGGGGGCAGCGCGGCACCTGATTGCCTGGAATGGGGGGCCTCCCACCTTGCCAGGGCCATTCAAGAATGACTTCGCGCTCGCCGCCGCGCGCGCCCGCCGTTCCAGCCCCGCGGGGCTGCCGGGAACCGCCTCGCCCACCTGGCCCAAGGCCTTCTGCCCTCCGCGGTGAAAAACGGAATCGCGCCGTCAACAGGCGGGTCAAGTCGCCCGCCGCTGGGCAGCAGTAGGCGCGGCTCTCCGCCGGCCCTCCAGCTGAAGCTGCAGCCGCGGTCTGCGACGAGTTCACCTGCCGATATCACGCTCGGAGTCTCTCCGGCATGATAAAAGCAAGCCTCGAGATCCCCTCGCATGGCCAGTCGCTAGCGATCCCCGCCGCGCCGAGGGCTCGCGATTGCCCGCCAGCCGCATTGATGGTGATGGGCGCACTCAGGGGGGCGATTCTGCTCATCATCCCTGAATCGCGGGGAAATCACACATCAACCAAATTGGATCCACAACCAGTGTCGACCATGAACCGCAATGACCCGATCCACACTGGACCCGCTTGGTTCACAACCTGGGTGTTCAAAGATTTTCTTCCGGATGCGGTGACGCGGTCGCCATCCGAGTCGCAGCTGACGTCGACAAAATCTCCGCGTAAGAACTATTCCAGGCCAGCCCAGGGGCGCCAAACCTCATCCTCTAACTTGGTTGCCTCGTCATAAGCCAGCCTCTGATGCCCCCTAGCGACGTCTTACTCACCCGCGAGCCACCCTGCAGAGGAGCGCGCGTGCGCGGGGCAGGAATGGGGGGGCCAATGCGCGCGCGACGGCGCCGAGCGGCGCGCTTCTTGGATTCGCCGCCCGCATGCCTGCGGAAGACGCGTCGCCCCAATTTTCCGCTCCGTGACATTTCCAGACCGGCCCGCGGGGGCGTCGTGATTCCTCCAGCCTGGAGGCACCTCAGTGGCCGAGCGAGCGGGCCCATGATTGCCCAGCCCCGCCCTAGCGCCCGCGCCGCCCGACCGGCTCCTGTCGAATGGCAGCTAATAAGGCTGTCAGAGCCCATCGTTAAATCCAGCGGCAACGCGCTGCGTTGAAAACTGCCGGGGCGGCGCCCTGCGCCGCGCCAACCCTAATTCGTGCTGATGCTCTACTCTGGGATCGCGGGCGATCTCCGCCTCCCCCAGATTTCAGGCCACCTCGCTCTTGGCTTCTACCGCGATATTCCCTTTCTTTTTCTCCACCCTTCGTCGTGGGTTGCTCCTTCCCCCCGCTGCCTCTCCCACCCCAGCCGCCCTTGCCAGGCGGGGCAGCGTCGGGCAGCGCGGGGGCCGCGGGAGCAGAGCCCTTTGGATGTCGAAGCGGGCGATCGGCTCGCGAAATGGAGCGCTTTCCCAAATGGGAAATTTCACAACTCAGCCTCCTTCTTGAGGCGCCCATCCATGTAGAGAGAGCCCCATCTACCGCCGCCGCTGCTGCCCCCTCCGCCTCCCGCGCCTCCCGCTGAGAGGCCGCGGGGTATCGGCTGCTTTCGCTGAACGTCGGGGCCGCGGGTGCCTGCGTGCGTCTGCTGATTTGCGCGAGCAGCCATTCGTGGCGTGCCATGCCTTTTCCGTGCTTGTCGTTGGTGTGATCGCACATTGCCAGCAGCGTGGCCATGCTGGGGCACTTCTTCTGCATCTGCTGATACATGTGCTCCTTCCTGAATGGGCGGGCGGAACGACTTGTGGGTTTGTCCATTTCGCTCATGAGTGGTCTGCGCTCGCTGTAAAACTGAAGCAGGTCTGCATCTGCCTCCATGCCCGAGCCGCG